CATCACGAACACCAAGTTCAACCATAAGGGTGTCCATATGTGCACTTGGCACCAGGACACCCTAGGCCGCAGTTTGATGATCGATTTTGTCGTCGTTTCATCCAATCTGCGGCCGTATGTTTTGGACACTCGGGTGAAGAGAGGTGCGGAGCTGTCCACTGACCACTACTTGGTGGTGAGTTGGCTCCAGTGGTGGGGGAGGAAGCCGGTCAGACATGGCAGGCCCAAACGTGTAGTGAGGGTCTGCTGGGAATGTCCCTATGACACGGAGCTTTAACTCCCATCTCCAGCAGAACATCGAACACGTTCAGGGGGAGGTGGGGGACATTGAGTCTGAGTGGACCATTGCCAAGGCGGCTTATCGGAGCTGCGGCCGCAAGGTTGTTGGTGCCTGTCACAGCGGCATCCCTCAAACCCGTTGGTGGACACCTTCGGTGAGGGATGCTGTCAAACTGAAGGAGTCCTATCAGGCCTTTGGGACTCCAGAAGCAGCTGATGGGTACCGGCGGGCGAAGCGGCATGCCGGTACGCCTTGGGGTTTCCCCGGATTAGCTGGAAGAAGTGGCTGGAGAGAAGGGGCCTCCCTTCTGAAGCTGCTGCCCCCGCGACCTGACCCCGGATAAGCAGAAGAAAATGAATGAATGGATGGATGGATGGATGGATGAATGAATGAATGAATGAATGAATGAATGAATGAATGAATGAATGAATGGATGGATGGATGGATGGATGGATGGATGGATGGATGGATGGATGGATGGATGGATGGATGGATGGGAATAAATTCTTGAATCACTGAATTACAGTGAAAACAATGTAACAATAGAGATAAACTCTCATGTGTTTCATGCTTCCAATCATAACACACCATCAACTTAAAACTTAAGACCTCTCCATTCTGCCAAAAAATAAAAAATAAAAAATACAAAAATAAAAATCTTCACATCCTACAATATAAAAATGGCAAGAACCAACATGATCCTCCAAAGTGAGCTCAGCCTTTGTGCAGCCTTATTTTGCTTTTGTTAAATTCTTCCAGTTAATCAGTAGAAGAGAGGATGAGACATGGTGCTGCAGAGAGGTAGAGGTCAGATCAGCAGCTCCATGTTCGTCCTCTGTTGGGCCCCATCATTACCAACTCATTATCCACCTCGCTGCAGGGGAGGGGAGAAAAGACACACCACTGACTTCTCTCACACACACGGCGAAAGGTGAACATCCCGGCATAAAATCAAATACCTTCCCCTCCATCTCTTCTCTCTAACAAACCCATCTTCACAGCTCTCAGACCCCTTAGCCATCTGCAAAGTAATAATTATGCATACTGTTATAACTGTGCATAATTTATTAGAAGTGCTAATAAAAATTCAGAATATGATAAAGTGGTCATAATGGGAAGTAATAAAAGCCGGGAGCAAAAAAGAGGAAGAAATCTCGGAGATGTTTAGATAATAAAAAGTGATGTTTAATGAAGGCCCTTTCAAGATGATGTCGAAGAGAGACAGAAGCGTAGGATGAGGATCTAATATTAGAAATGTATCTGCCTTACATAAAATATCTGCACTGGGACTTATGGCTGCAGCACTGTGGTACAGGAACCCCCCAGTAAATAAGACGGGTTAGAAAACATTGCATGGTGCAATTTAACATAAGTGAAAATAACTTTTTCACTTTCTTGAAAGTTCTTGTTCAAAATACAAAATCTCAGCTCCAGTTGGATGAAATCTTTACTTCTAGATGTGGATATTCTTTTGATTTGATCTGATAGTTTTAGTAGCAGTGGATTTGAAGCATAAAATGCGATCAGAACCTTTTATTTCAGCTTTTGATTAATGTGTAGCTTCAGGTTCATTGTGTTCTTTGCAATCAGGACTTTGAAACATTGGCAGTTTTGAAATTGAGACATTTTTATATCTGTGGGAAAACCATTAGGGCTTTGCAAAGCCTCATTACTCCAGCGCCTCTCCAAGTTCGTTCTCCCAATAAATCATGAGGACAAGGTTGGGATGCAGCTACGGTTATTCTGAGTTTTGTCGCAGTCTCCAGTTAAACAATTAAAATCCAGCATTCAAGGCACAAAAATGTTTACACCCTTTATACATCTCGAGAAAGTTGGGTTTGAACTTTACTTACTGCTAGTTTAAAAGCAGCCAAGTTAATGCTACAGATGTTCAAAACTCAGATCGGGAGCCTATTGAGTGTTTAAATACCATTACAAACCCAACGCTGTAAAGATAAGACATCCTTTTATTGAGCTATAACTCTCCTGAATGACGCAACATTTGTTGCCTAACAGAACCTAAAATACTGTGTCACCTCTAATGTTTCCTCTCTGAATCTGTTCGACTCCCTAAGATGCCGCTGAAGGTCGCAAGCTTCATTAAGCAGAGAAGTCAGACTTTATGGTGTCCTTACCAAGGACTGCATTTAGAGAGAGACACACCAAGCAACAGCAAGTATACAACAAAACCCTTTAAAGCAAATCGCTTTCATGCAAAACATTACAAAGTGCAACATGAGACCGACACATCCGTACTCTCGTTCTACGTAGCAAAAGTTTGAATCCAATCATTTCACAGTTAGGGTTCGTTCCTGAATTGAAGCAACCACTATATCCTCTTTCTGAGATCATTATATCTTCCCAAAAATGAATTTACAGCAATTATTTTCTATCTTTGAAATTGCGTCCTGGGCATAACGGTAGCAGCATGTGTTGCAGAGGATCTAATCGAGTTAAGCAGTTCTTCATTATATATTACTCAGATGTGCAAAATAGATTAGATTAGCAGAGTTGATGTTTTATGCCATCTGTGTGGAATGAATAGTCTTCAATGTTCTCCTATATAAGTTGATAAATAGGATTTTAATTAGAGGGTAAGTATAACGCCATGAAATGACTGAACACATAAATACATGCGTTTACATTCAACTGTTTATTTCAGACAAATGAGTTTGATCAACAGTGCAATTATATATCCTCTGCTATGCAATGTCAGCTTTGTTTGCAAAACTACAGAGGAATAAGGGAAACAATGGCAAAAAAATTAAGTTGTTGCAAAATTTTGGAACAAAGAGCAGAAAATACACAATCGTTCAGGAACTACAACTAAATAACTTACGCTAAGAAGTAGCAATAGGTCAAGAAGCACAATTAATCCTGTTTAGTCATTTTGTGATCTTTCTCTTCCCTAAACTTGGTGTTGAAACTGTTATTCTTCTGACTGAATCAGACCTGGATTGCAGCCGTAGTAAAACTCACCCTCCACAGCGATGACTCCCAGCAGGTGCAGCATTTTGGCGGCACCACAACACAGCAGAACGATGGCTATCGTCTGTAAGCTGCTGTCCCTCTGCTCCTCTCCTTCCATTCTCATCTCTCACTAATGACAACTTCACATAAAGATAACGAAGAACAAGTAACTTTGGAACAGCCCCCATGAACTTTGAGTCGCCATGAGGCTCCTCCACTGCTACAGAAACATCTGCACTCCTCTGCTTCTTTTTATCCCCTTATCTCTCCATGTCCCCGAAGCGTCTCCCTCCCATGTCCCGACCTTTTCTCCATCCCAGTAACTCTCTTTCTGTCCCCCTCAACCCTTTGTTCTCAGTCTTATTACAGTCTCTGTGTCCTTCACTGCTTCGAGCTGTATTTTAACTGGAGGGTCCACTCTGTTCTGCACAGTCACACTGATGAATTCACCTTCAGCTGTATGGGGTCATTTATCTGCGTGTTCCCAAACAGATCAGCACTAGATTAATTGCTTCCCATTTACATACGGTCATCTTCACTGAGCAGAAACTATTTAGATCAAAGTGACATTTCTGACTAAACAAGCTGAAGTCTTACTCTAAGGTGTGTATTTCCTTTAAAAAAAAAAATCAAAATACGTGGTGATTAAATTGACTGAGCTGCAGTTGTTATGGGGTCAATCTAAACTGGCAACAACATGAAACTTCTAACCACCACCAGGGGGCAGCACAAACCAACACACCGTCAATGTTTGAAGCTTGACATCCAGCCAATGTCTCAGAGAGAGAAACAAACCAACAGTTTATTTTATGATAAATTATTTGTTCCTAAAATATGAAGCTTACATGGTAGAGCTACAACATCTTGCGCAGGCGTCGATCAAGCTGTAATCTTGGATTGGAAAAGCCCATAGCTTATTTAAAATACTTCAAACATGAAAACCAAATCAAGTTGGATCTGTTTTTGCACAATTAAACTAGATATTTAAAGAAGCTTTGATTAAGGGTGTGATTTTACATCTGTGGCATTTAATTGTTTTGGTTTTACATGCAAAAAAGTTCAGTGTGAAGAAACGCCAACACTGCACTTCAGCCTGAACACATTGTGGAGTCAGTTTCCTGCCATTGGGGATATGTTGGTTCAGCAGTGCCAGAGAACCTACTCAGAGTTAATGGGAAAATGTCTCGAGCCAAGAACAGGGAAACTTTGAGACCCGGGAGGTTCAGCATCCAGTCGAACAGAGACCCTAAACACACAGTTTGATGGCTTAGATCAACAGGTTGAAACTACAGTCCTCAAAGTGTCCCGCAACTTATCTCTGCTTCAGCACACCTGGCTCCAATATTAGCTCATTAGCAGATCTCCAGAGACCTTGACGTCGTGCTAATGAGGCAGCTTCACCATTTAATTCAAGTGTTTAGGACAAGGGACACATCTACAAGTAGTAGGACACTGGCCCTTGAGGACTGGAGATCCTGACCTACAGTCAGATCTCCATCCAGTCTGACTGAGGTTCAGCCAGTTTGCAAAGACGAATGGAGAAAAAACAGAAACTTTGTTTTGCATCCATCTCTACAAACAAGCCAGCTGTTTTCATTCAGCAACCTCCAAAGACGCTCACTGGTAATCTTCATGTTTCATCCTGCTGTGGTCTGACAGTATCTCACTGTTTTGAAGCTTGACCCTTGTAAATTGCTTCTTCAGCCAAATGAGTACATGAAAATGTTAATGATAAAAGGAACCAGATAAACTCAAGTGAAGCTTTCATCATGCTGCCTGCAGGGGGCTCTGCTGCACCACAGTCATCACTTACTTTAGGCTCCCGAGTTACAGCTACAGACTAAGAAGAATTTAATGTAGATGAAATATTAACATTTAATCTTTTTTCATGAGACATTTCAAATAATATTAATTAATGTGAGCTTCACATTTAATGCTAATTACCATTTCTCCCATTCAGGTTGTAAACTGAAGTTACTAAGCAACACCACTATTTGACAAGATGCACAAACACAGCAGATGAAGATAACCTCTGCAGTCAAAAATGCATGCTAAAGCGCAGAGCGCCACACTTGGTCTAAGAGATCAGTTACCACAAACAGAACATAATCATATAAGGGTCACATCTTATATGACGTGACACTAAAATCTAACCTTTAACATCATATGGTAGGGGATGTCAACTTAGCAGAGGACAAACCAGGCTGAATGCAGTTTACTGTGCTGCAAAATGAAAAGCTAATTTATGACCACTTGTTGCTTTAAATCATAAAATAGAATATTTGCAAACATTTGCAATACAGGTGTCACAATCAATCAATCAATCAATCAATCAATCAATCCATCAATCAATCAATCAATCAATCAAATTTTATTTGTATAGCACATTTCAGCAGCAAGGCATTTCAAAGTGCTTTACATAATTAAAAACAGAAAGAGATTTAAAAAAAACATAAAAACATCAAAAACATTGGAAAGAGATTTAAAAAGAAAAAAAAAACATCATTAAAACGTAAACAGTGAGAAAGAGAAATAAAAAGCTGTAGAATTTTAGTTGAGACGCCGTCAACTGGGACTCCAACCCTTTCGGATTTTAGTCAAAACGCTGTTTGACAAGGACTCTAACCTCTCGGTCACAAGGTGTGGGAGGCTTGCTACCAACAGAACCATCAGGTGTGTTAATGCTACTCTGTGCATTACAGATTTGACTTGGTGTGGCATTGATTACACCATTGAGCCCTGAAGGAATTAGTTATTTGTTGACAGTCGAGTGCTACAGTTGCCTGAGAGCCACCGATTTGCTCTGAAGGACTTAAAGGCCATGCAGGATAAAAAACAGACAAGAGTATTCGGTTCCGCAGTTAAAACTTACACTGAGATGGTGATTTACATAGAATTATGAAGTGAGCAAATTGCTGTCCTGACAAAAAATGTGTCTGGGACTCTGGGTGTAATATTGCAGATTTATTGGAAGTTTCCTTCCTAAAATATTAAAGAAATGTTTTTTCATAATAGGACATAAACATAATAATGATCCTGGTCAAAACCTCTAAAGTAGCTGGAAATATTTAATGTTATGCAACTCAATAAGTGAAGATGAAAAGTCACATATATTTTTGAGTTTTTATGAATATGAAAATTGTTTCACCAGTGCATATGAAAGGCAAACCTGTCTACAGATTAAAAAAGGATAATGTTTTATAACATAAACAAGGAACCATTTCAGCCTTAGAATCATATGAAACAGCTTACGAATTAACCTACAAATGAGCTCAGTCTCAATTACAGATATTTGTTCCTGAGGATCGAAACATGGCTGTTAACTTAGTTGTTATTTATAAGTTGTACTTAGGTATGAGTGTGTTTGGATGTTTGTATGTTGGCCTGTGATGAACTGGCAACCTGTCCGGGTTGTAACCCCACCTCTCACCTAAAGACCGCTGGAGACAGGAGCCCTCCACAACCCCGCAAGGACAACCAGGTACAGACAATAAACGGATGGATGTTTTTTTTTGTGCTAGAAAATTCTGAAGCTGGAAGTGTAAATGTAAAAAAATAAATACCGTATTTTCCGCACTGTGAGGCACACCTAAAAACCTTCAATTTCCTCAAAAGCTGACAGTGCGCCTTATGATCAGGTGCACCACATATATGAACCAATATTGAGCCGCAACAAGAAACGCGCGGTGCATGCTGGGATAGTTGTCAGAACGCTGGTTTGTTAATAAAGTTTGACTGACCTATCTACCTACCGACCGTCTAGAATCAGGTCGTCTGCAGGTCATTTAGCACCACGTTCTCCACAACATGCTGTGCACGAACCGAGAAGGGTCATCATCGTCCGGCCACGCCCGGGCCAATCGCGGAAGGCTCTCCTCGCCAACCGGAGTTGGACCGTTTTGTTGACATTCCCTTTAGTGCAGCTCCATCTAGTGGATGCATAACATAACTCCAGCCTCTCCTGCAGCATCTATTCTATGCGCCTTATAATGCAGTGGGCCTTATAGTGCAGAAAATACGGTAAACAAAAAAATACCAGCAGAGCTTTTGTGATGCTGAGAAAAATAGAAGAAAACAGAATATGAAGAGACAAAGGGGTTTGTGTGTGGGAGGTGGTTGTGAAACTAGAGATGGATCACATGAATCAAAGTTGTGATTTCAACACAAACAGCCCCAACAGGTGTAGCTTCAAACAGACGCTTGTTTTCATTCTCTCAGAAATCTTGCAATCAAATCATATAGCTTAACAAGTAAAAGACACAAAATACAGGTTTACCTCCAGATCTGCACTTGTTTTGTTGCTTTTTATAAGAGCTTTTTTTTTAATCATAAGTTCTGCATCAAGTTGGATAATCTTCCCCCCTCTCTCTTTTTGATTTAATACTGCCTCAACCAAGCGTAATTTTCTTTAAATGTGAATAAAGTAAATTGGGACCAGCTGCTTATATATCTCAGAAAAAAAAACTCATCTGTGCATTTTACTTAAAATGCAAAGTGTAGGCCATATTTTATGTTATACTTTTATGTTTTGAGACGCGTCAACACAAAAGCTGCTCTTACGCTTTTTAGTTAAAGGCATCTGGTTTAAAAATTTGTAAAGTGGAGGCTTTATTGTTAACACCAGTATTGCACTACATTAATATTCATTGCTAAATAATTTATCATATTGCCACTGCAAACAAAAGTAACACATTTTCCTAAAAAAAGTTCTGACACTATCTAGATAAATGAGTGGAGTTTCACAGCTCAATGCAAACCATTACTGCTGATGTTACAAGTTTTTATTAAGGTTAGCAGGTGCAAAGTGAGCTAACTTTTTCCAGGTCAAGGAAATGTTTGTAGAGCAGGAAAAACTCAGAGCAGCTTCCCCCTGTCATACTTTAAACGTTTTAAGCCTATTTAGATAAATGTGGATGCCGGTTTCCAAATGGGGAGAAATTGTGTAAGTGTGCATCATCTACCAAACAGTTCGATCAATGTATGGATTTCAGTGCCAAAAAAGTGACAATTTTTAGATTTAGTACATTTAATTTTTACAGAAAATCTGTTTTCCAGTATTTGATCCGTCAGTCATCACTCTGATCAAGTGAAAAATTAACGGCTCATCATCACTAGTTAGTCCTTAGCATAATTTATGCATTCAATCCAAGTCTAGTCGTTCAGCTACGAAAGCCTACAACCTTCATGCAACTTTAAATGCACCAGTAAAATCAAAAGCAGGACTTTGGCTTGATCCAGCCTGTTCAAAATGAGCAAGAAGATAGTTTTTAATGACGTACAACCGCAAGAATATTAAATACTAACCCTCATATTGCATCAGTTCTTGCAATAAATTTCTAATCACATGGGTCCCTACTGAGCATTGAAAGACCTAAATAGTGAACCATTTTTCCACCAAAATGGCTGCAAAGCTTCAGATTCAATATGACTCATGAAGTTTGGGAGCTTTTTTTAATCTTGTGTATTATGCTCTTTTTAATTTTAAAGTTTCAGAGTGTAACAACAATAAATACCAATAAGGACATACGGATATCATGAAGAACTTTGTTTCAGTCGGTATGGAATGGATTTTCATCATTTTTATTGCTTTTAAATACACCATTTATATCTATTTGCAGTTGCTCCTTTCACACAGGAGAATCGCCATGTTAAGGCATAAAGGTTTTGTTCAAGAAGATCAGAAGGGACGGCTGCGGCTCGGTGAGGAGAGAAAGTGTCTGGCAATCAGAAAGCAGAGAGCCTGATGCCAGATTCCCCTGCTACATGTCAAAGTGACCTTGGGTAGGACACTTAACCCCATTTTGCCAACCAATCTGTGATGCATTTGTACCCCTTACGAGTTCAGATGGAGATGGGTGAATGAGTCCTGTGCGGTAAAAGCGATTTAAATTCAGTCCATTTGTAAGGCGGCAGAAAAAAAAGAAGAGAAGTCGATGACATAACGGCTTTTCTCTGCCAACGTTCAGCTCTGTGGTTATATTAGACATCATCAGCTTGTTTTTCAGGTGGGAATCTCTCCAAATGTTTCCAAAGTTAACAAGCCTCCCTCTAAACACACAGAATAATTATTCAACAGGAGGTTTCAGAACCAGACACATCTGCAAACTGCTCAAAATATCTTACAAAAAACATCTTTTTAATCAATGGGCTCAGTTATGGGGATTCTTGTAATGCAGTGCTGCTGATAGTAAAATAAATTACTGTTAAATAGGTAGAATCAATTCAATTCAAGATAAATAAAAAAAGCACGAGTGGTGCAGGGATTTTCCAATATCCCTCACACAGACTCCCTTAGGAGAATGGATCTTCTTCATTTAGTTAATGTATTTGAGGTCTCTGTCTCAGTGGCTCTCATACCTCCAATCCTACGAATTAAATTACTTGCCAGTTAATCCAGGGCTGTCAGACAGTAGTGCTTGGGGCCCTTTAATTGGCTTTTGTGTAGCCTGCAACTCAAGAACTGGACAAATCTGGCCCTTCATCACGGTGCATGTATTAAACGCTTAAATGTTTTTGTTAGGCCCTGTTTCCTGAGTGAAAAAGTTTGTTTCACTAATTTCTTAGAAGAAGTGTTTTTACAATGTGATTCTCACAATAAAGAAAGAGATATAAGCTTTTACAAGCAAAGCGTGTTTCCTTCAGAAGACTCCTCTTTATATATAAAATGCTGAGTTCTTGTAGGTCATGAACAAGGTTTTCATTTAACAGGTGCGGTCTAGAAACTTGCATGATTCAGGCTCTGAAACAGGAACTGCAGACCCGAGAGGAGCTTAAATAAATCTAACCTAGAAAGCAAAACTCAGAGCTATCCTTTCATTTGCCACATTTCACAACTGTAGCACATTCATTTGCTACAGTTTTCTGTCACTTTGATGCATTTCTCGACTCATTTTGCAAAACAGTGAGTGCATTTCTCAAAACACCGTGGATTACCTGCAAAAAAGCCGGTCTCTGTCTCAAAAACCTTAGTTAGTCTCTCAAAAGTAAATATCTGTGCCAGTGAACATGTCAGTGCCTCAGAATGACAAGTTTTTGTTTCTCTGTGTACAGATGAAGCAGTCAAATTGATTAGTCATGCTGTCAATATCACAGTGTAGTCTGGAGGGATAATTTGATGTAAACTATGGTTTAAGCTTTGATGACAAGTGTTGTAAATTGTAATTGTGGGAGGTCAGTGGCAAGAGATTGCAAAAGATTTTATGATTTCACTGTAATTTGTTGTCAGACCATGTCTGACCAAGAGAGAAATGTGAAAGTAGAAATGTGAACACAAGATGGTCTCCTTAAGGAAGACTGTACATCTTGTGCTGTAAGAATTACGGAGCAGCCTCTTTTACTTTCCATCTCCACGCTGAGGCTGAGGAAAAAAAAAATCCTCTTTGTGGTTAAGGAAAGAAGAGTAGGGCGAGAGGAACTCCATCAGGATCTTGTTGTGGGTTGCAAACCATTCCCTGATGATGTTGGAGTGATGGAAACTGACACGTGTCCTTGGCCCCGTTCTGCCTCTTCCTCCTCACTGCTCTCCCTCTTCTTCTTCTTTCTGGCAACTGACCTTCCCCAAATTCTTGTCCTTCCACTATCAGAAATGTAACACTGTGATGTTCTCTGGTTATGTACGCTCTATAAAAGTCTAATGGAAATGTGTATCATGACATCATGCTTGAGCATTTTGCATGCAGAAAATTTATGCTCAACTGTTGAGGAGGTTAGGATTATTCATCAGAACAGCATTTTGATCAACAGGACTTAAGCGACTGAAACTGTAGAAAAAAGCAGAGAATTGTACAGAATCACTTGCATGGATTTACAAAAGCATTTGCAACGTTTTCACAGAAATGAGAAAACTGCCTTTTTGATGTGCTCAAGTGACAATGATTTGAAGATTGAACAAGTAGTTTTGAGATTTCCAATTCTGTCCTGAGAAATGCACCAAAGCGACTGAGAAACTAGTAAAAACTGTAGCAAGTAAAAACAGGAAAGCTTGTCGTTCAGCTCTAAAAACCCCTGAAATCTATAAGCTCCTCTTTCCACAGAACCTTTTTGCTCAATATATCACAACCTGAAACTCACATATTTTCCCTTCTCCTGCTTGCTACTATTTTTTATCCTTGTCTTATCTCTCCCTCTGCCAAACCTCCTCCTCAGTTTTCCACTATGCCGCGCTCCTCAGCCTTCTCATCCTGAGTCCTGTAATCCTTGCCAGAGAGTTTGTCATTTACATAATCTGAATTAGCCTAATCTGCCATCCTGGCCCACGGAAATGGGCTGCTCTTCAAGAAAGTAGCAACTCCTCTGGCCGTGAGCTTCTGGGACGGCGCGAAGTATGCATTGTAAAAATAGATTTTTATTTGCAGCAACAGTATTTGGGGCTCATAATCGTGCTCCATATGGCAAAAACTGTATAGTGAAGTGTGTCGATTTCCACAGAAACAAATCCAAGTCAGGAGTTCCTGCCTGGCCTCTAAGGGAAAGTCCAGTGACTCGCTCACACAGACACGCTGAACACATTACTTCAGGAGTCATTGAGAACTAAAATATTATGCAAACAGTTTGCACTCCCCTGCTTGTGTGTACACACACATCATCACCCCGTGAAGGAGAACTGAAGCGCCGGAGGGTAGCTGCAGCTTTGCGTGTTTGCAAAAGACAAAGAAGAACACACAATGCCACTTCCTCACATATTAGTGTGCCACTGTTGATTATGTTTGGAAAGAGTGAGTCAAGTATAGCCCATTTAGGCACACTGAGCAGCGTGCCAATATTGATTTTTGAGTAAACACACGTCTAGACTCCAACTCTGAAGGAATACATGTGCACAAATACAAACTGCTGGGATGCCAAGGGATGAAGATGACTTAATAAGCACTCCCACCAGTTAATGAGAGTGTGGGTGATGGAGGAAAAGGAGTCGAGGAGAAGAAGGAAGGCAAAAAAAAAGAAAAGGGGGGAGAGGTGTTGTGATAAGGAGGACTGCAGGAGCAGATTGTGTTGGCAGCATGTGAGCAGAAAAGTGGCAGAAAGAAAAATAAAGGGAAACAAACATGGGGAAAAAATTGGAATGGAAGGAAGAAATGAGAGAAGCCATAGGGAGAAAGAGCAGAGCAAGAATACAAAAACGCTACGGGAAGCAGGAAAAAGCAAACAGTAAAATGCAGGAAGGGAAGTATGGAGTGACAAGTAAAGAGAAGAGAGAATGGAAGGAGCGAAAACGCTCTGCTGCAGGGATAAAGTGAGGAAAATTCACAAGGGAGGTGAGGATAATGCTCCCCAACAACTTCTCCAGAGATGAATTCAGGCTACAGCAAACAAACCAGGGTGAGAAAACATAATCAAAAGGTTAAGGAAAGCAGTCTGCATCAGATAATAAAAAAGCTCAGAGTATCTGGCTTTTAATCTCGAAATAATACAATCGTACGCTCTCCCTCTCTCTCTCTCCCTCTCTCTCTCTCTCTTTCTCTGTCTGAGATGTGGTCATTGTTGTGATCCTGGGTAACCTATCCCCAACACCACAGAAATAATGTCTCTGTTTACTGCCACACCAACCCTACAAGGAGCTAAAGCTGCAAACAACTCAACACCAGAATTACAAACAACCTCCAAACAGCTCCAGCTTCATGCCCCGTTCTGTCACGTTGTCGCACGACCAACGTGGGGGTAATAAAAAGCCTTGTTTTCATTTGCACAGAGAGTCGGCTTTCACACTTTTGCACACCGCGAGGGTTTCTACAACCACCTCTTTTTTTTTCTTTTTTTTTTGTCAAAATAGCAACAAATTACGCCTTCCCTTTTTTCACACCCTCAGGGAAGGTGTTTGGGCTTGTGGTGGAGGAGGGGAAAAAAAAAAAGGGCTTATTCAAGAGATCAAACCAGCCATATGCGCTCACTTGGAAAATATCCTGTGTGGTCTAATTTGGACTGAAAGCTGATAACAGCCTGCCTGGAGACATAAGCTTAAATGACTGTTCACTATTAACAGATGATATTTTAGTTCTGGCACTGATTCCCCCCCCCCACCCACCCCCTTCTTTATTGTGCTCATTCATTATTGCTACCAGTTTGGAGTCGTTCAATATTTTATGAGCATAATTTTATGTGAGTTTATCAAAATAATCAACGAGGCCAAAAAAGCGTTCTCTCACAAGCAACAGGTTTTTACGAGAGGATGCCACTTCAAGGCTAAACTGCAGAAAACCATCTGTCGTTCTGTGTATTTTGCTTACTTAGGGAAAGCCCCCAATCTCATCACCCCCCCACCTCACCGAACCCTCCCGCCCCAAAACCCACATCTTTTGTTGCCATGGCTACCATGCTTCCAAGGTAACAGCAAGACAGAGGAGAAGAGTGTGAGCAGAGTGACAAATACCTCCGACATGTGTGTTTACCAGCACTAGCGCTTGTATCCGTGCACACAGCCAGATAGAGTAACACACACTCAACCAGGTCGCTGTTTCACTTCTTACTGGCGATTCTTCAGCACATGGTGGGCTCCATTAACCATCACACCTGAATGCTGCAACTTGGTCTTCAGACCAATGAATAATTAACAGTGAAATATTTAGTCCTACAGCGTGAATGAGAACGCAGACATTAGTAGAGGAAGTTGCAGCACCCCACCTCTTCCCTAGTGGTAGATTAAGGACGTTGCAACTTCGTGCAACAGCAACAGAAACGGCAAACAACTAAGACGCCAACACGTCTGTTGTTTTGCTAATGTGAAAGGGAGATATTAAAATTAACTCATCTTAAATTGATTCCCCGTAAGTTGTTTCTATAAACACGTAAGCGACAAGTTAGAAAAGCAAAGTTTAAAGCCCAATTTACACTCTCAGATTTTACTGAAACGTCCTTCCTTGGTGACCGTTTGATCCAATAATATCCATTGAAAAAGAAATATGCTGACATCACAATCGCATCTGATCAGGATCCAGCAGAACAACGGGATTTTCACTTCCTTGATCCCAATATACATGCACTACTGAGAACGAGAGCAAATCAAAAGCAACAGCCATTCTTCAAAGAAATGACAGGACTTGATGTACCACAAAGCCACCTTCATTTCATCATAATTAGCAAAACAACTTTTAAACATGGAAAAATAGAAAACTGTGACAGCAGTTTTTGAATAAAGAAGTTGCCCCTTTGCACAGGTCAACTATGGCATTCAGTGCTAGAAACTACAACAGTGATAACATTGTTGTAGCTCGTTACATATATCTATCTCGCTTGGTCCCAATTTAAAAAAGCTTAAAGCTAATTTAAAAAAATCACAGCCAAAAAACAAGAGAAAAACAAGTTAAAACATTGCACGATGTTTAGCCATGCTCAGGATCTTGTTTTGAATTTTGATTTCATGCTATGATGCATTCAAGTTGCCTTGGAGGGTCAGACGTCGGATTTGGGAATTATGTCAACATTTAGTTGGGAGTTTTTTGAAAAACCAGTTGGATTAAATATCTTGAACTCATTCATTTTTCCATTCAAACATGAACAGAACATGTTCATAGATAGAAGACGTACTGCACTACTTGTACCTGAGATTTAATGAGATACAAATGATCAGAAGAGTTGGAAAAAAAAAAAATCTGCAGCTTTCACAATGGTTCATATGCGTGGCAGGCATTTTGGATAGTGAACTCCAGGCTCCAACATTTTCGGTCTAATTTCAAATCTTGGGGGCCATTCTTGTTTGTGTTCTGACAGGGACTTTAGAAAATCTGATTTATGAGAAAGAAAGTTAATGTAAAGGCCACCTGCTGGTTTAGCCGAGCTAAACACAGTGTTTTTGGTTTGATTACCGGTATGGATGCTGATGCTTATAATCCGGTGATTTTGGAAACCATTCTGGCAAGTAATTAGTGTAGTAACTGCGTTTAGTAGTTTTTAATTCTGGTGTTGATGAGTACAGTGCCTTAACACTGCAAATCAAAAGCCCACAAAGTTATGGGAAGTGTGTTGCAACAGATTCGTACCGACAGTAAATGAAGCAAAGCAACATTTAGAGTAAAGAACATTAGATCAGAATGTGTTTAAATACAGAGAGAAACATCAGTCTTCTTGGTGCAGAACAAGGCAGAACATCTGCAAACACGTCAAACTGAAACTTCACTGTTGGATAAACAGATGCACTGTTTCCACTTTCATTAAATATTTTCATTATTATTCTCATTTATCTCAACATATAAACACCAGTTATTAATCTGTGCAGTGCTGCTTGCACATCCACACTCTATGTTTAGGTGTCTCAACTTTAAAGAGGGGAAAATCTGAAGTTTCTCTGCAGAAATATTTAGCTCCATGCATGAGTTTCTGCCTGCATGTGGGTGAGAGATTGTGCATGCACGCGTTTTGTGTTTGTGTGCTCTTCCTCACCCCTGGATGGCCTCCTCTGCTTGGTCTGCATGGTCAGCGTGCCAACCACAGCCCCCATGTTTGCCGCCGTCGTTGTGGAAACAAGTGCGTCTGGATGCTCAAGTCTATAATTCTTCGTCACGTGTTTCGGACGGCTACAGCACACACTCCCGCGCCCTCCTTCCCTCCTCTCATCCTCCTCTCCTCTCTCTCTCACTGGCTGCTCTCAGCATTAAACCCTCACCCCGTCATCCTTTCATGCTTTCTCTCTCCATCTCGCAACGCTCCTCCTCGTGTGCCCTCTCTGTCCCTCTCTCTCTCCCACCCCTTTTTCTCCTCACACCCCTCCCCATTCTTTGTTTTTCATCAGGGGTTGTTCTCTCTCTCTCTCTCTCTCCCTCCCTCCTTCATTCCCCCTTTTCCTCGCTCTCCATACATCTATCACAAGCCCCACTGCTGGAGGAGAGCATCAGTAATTCAGCATGAAATCAGCAGGATGTTGATTCACCAAATTATAAATTAATATGAGTGTACCCTTGATATGATAATACTGAGTGACTCACTCTGCATAAGAACAACATACACTCCGACTCCCATTACATTTGTCCACCTAAAAGCACCTGTTAGCATCTGATGGAGAACAAATATACAGATAAATCCGGCATTGAATATTGATTAGAGAGGAAGCTACAAACCGCGGCGTGACAAATAAAAAAACATGAGGCTGTGACGTAAATTATAGAAGTCCCTGACTGTTGGCTGCATTCTTTATGAAAAGGCCACTTCAATCTATCAACACCTCCTTCACCTCCATCCGTCACTCCTGCTCATTCGTCCACGATGCCCCAACAGTCTCATGCACACCAGCGAGACGGATAGAGGGACCTGGAGTTCATGTGTGCCTGGTGGTGGATTGACTTTGGAGGCAGAAAAAAAAAAAACGGCAAGAAAGAGAGATGGGCTGAAAAAAAAGGAAAGAAAGAAACGCTTAAAGTCAAAGATGTGAGAAGAGAGGGGGATTAAGAGCAAGAGGAAGCTGCCGAGACATTAAATAGGACAGAAATAGGGGGATCAAGACAAGTATCAGATAATATAGTAGGAGTGTGCGCTCTTGACAGTAAGAGCTAAACACACAAGACGGAAACATTTTTTTTTTACAGTCCACAGAAACTGGAATGCAGCTCCTGCTGCAAACACAGTGTGAAAGTCTTCATACGCCTTCAACTTCTCCTCGTTCCGCCTCATTATAACTTCAGCTAATACATGATGGAGAATGATTGTAAAGTGAGAAGAACAGGATTCATGATTCTCACATTAACTTCTGGTATTTACTTTGTGTTCTTGTTCATAATGTATGAACTTTTTAAAAATTCTAACAATAATCTCTAAGGGCGCGACTATTAGAGCCCAGTTTATGTCCCAGGATTTTAGATTAATGGGTCAGTCTTTTTACATCAGTATCCAGGAAGTCCTACGGAGCCTGGCATGGACAGTCTGGCCGACCTGCGGATTGGACTTGCTTCGAGAGAATTACACAATCGGATTGGGATCGAGGGGAGTTACCAAAGGCTAGGTCAACATCTCTGGCTCTTTTTCATGTTGGTCATGCTGTTTCCGGGGCCGTTTCTGCTGTGTGAAGGATGCACTGTCCTGCTGGGGGGAGCATCTGCCATCAGAGTTTTGCAGCCATGAATGGATCTGCAGCATTCACATTGAACAGGAAAGATACAAACATCATAATAAAAAAAAAAAAGCAAGAATTTTGAGATATAGAAAATGAGAAAATTATAATTTCTCAAATGTTTCCTTCTTCTACAGGACACGCAGTACTGCAAAAAAATATATATCTACCTGTTTACCAACAAAACAACTGTTTTGTTTGTACTTTTTTTTAAATATATAGTTCATTAAACTACTTTTATTGTTACTGAGTAAAAACAAAATGTCATTTTCAAACAACAATTACAATTATGTAAGTAAAATATAAAATTTTTATAGCATTGCTGTCCGAAGCAGTGTTGCCACCTTTTGATTAATCAAATCATCAATTAGCAGCGATAAACCACTTGTTGTTTTTGAAAAGCTGAGTTCTCAGTCACGTGTAATAACTGACAATCCTGTAAAATCGATAAACCACTTAAACAGAACCAGTCTGGCAACACGAAGCAGGCCAAAACAACCAAAACTTCAACTCCATTTAAGTCACAAAAAACGTCTCAGGGATGATCAGTGGAAGGAGCTCAGCTATGAGCTTCATGGCAAAAGCTGCAAATATTAATGCAAATAGGATTTGCAAAAGAAAAAAAAAATCTGTATTCATGGAGGTATTCTAATTCTGAGGAAAGAGATTAATTTAATACAATTTGGAATAAGGCTGTAGTATAAAATGTGGAAAAAGTAAATCACAGTAGGTCAAGGATCAGCCCATGTGTTCATGGACCCCCCTCTGGGTTAAATTATTTTGTGATTACCACTTGACTTTTGGCAACCCCCCTTATGATCCTAAATAAATTAAAATGTCCAACTACAGCAATGATGCAGCATGTCGAGAGGCCTTGCTTATGCACATCACAGATCCTGCTTCATTGGATTTGCCACCAGAGGTTCCTGACAGAAAATTCAGCGAAAGCCAGATTTAGATTTTTTTTTTTTTTTCAAGCACATTTCTAAAAACCCGGATGTGATCCACCGACAGAAAAATGTCAAACTAATGGCTCACTACAGGTGGAAAAAGGTTCGAAATGCATGAAATAAATTGTTTTTGCATCACACATCCTCATTTTGTCAGACTTGTGTGTGTTTTTATATCTTCTGTAGATGGAAGATTTTTATCAAAATCTCATCAACAACAACAGAGCATTGGATTTTAATCAGTTTTTCAGTTAAATTATAATCATTGGAAAGCTAAAAAGGCACAAATATGAAGCCTTGCTGTAGCCGGACAGTTTAAGATGTGAAATGATGTCTCCGTATGCCAACTGTGCAACAATGACTCAAAATACAGTTTCAAAGTTTCAGATTTCCAAA